GACTTCACCCCTGCCCATCGTCCCCATGCTGACTTGGTCCCCGCCTTCTGAGCTTCTCTGCACCCCCCCAAGTGTGCCCGGGGTGCTCTTGCCTCGTGCCTTTGCTGTGCCTTTTGCCAAGAATGCTTTCCCCCTGATACCATCTGGCACCCTCCCCCGCCTCTTCACCTTCGCTCAAATCTCAGACAGGCGTTCTCTGACCTCCGGACTCACTGCTGCCGCTCCAGCAGCCCTGCACGTCCTCCTGCTGTTCCCTGCACTGCCTCTACCGCCCTCTCATTTCCCACATATCCTATGATTGATTTATTTTGCACCCAGTCTGTCTCCAGCACTGGAGCGCAGGCTCCACATGGCGCGGAGATTTTTTTGTTGTTTTCATTGTTATATCTCCCTAGCATCTAGGATGGGCCTGACAATAACTGTTTGTTGAATGAATAAATGAGCAGGTTATTCTTGTCCCACGAGAGCTCTTCAGCAGTCCAGATACTTGTGCACTCAAGGCAGTGTGTTTTTTTCCTGGATCTTGCTGGACAAGCATTCACACCTCACACCCACTTGCTGCCAACCCTGGCCATCCCTAGCTCCAGCCTCACCCATGTGCTGGGGAGCGAAAGGAAGAGTCCAACCTTTCCCTTGGGTCAGAACATTCTCGTCCCTTCCTGAGGCTATACACGAGGCACCATACATGTGCGGTTTCAGTTTAGTTTCTGTAGCCACATGTGGGGGTGACCGCCACTTCAGAAACACTTGCTGGTCATCCCTCTGTGACTGGCAGGTAAGTCCTTCCCCAGAGACTCGCCTCAGTGTGAGGGTGAGGCAAGAGCAGAGAAGGATGGAGGAAAGACACAAATGGAGGGGGACAGTCTCAGAATCAGCACAGGACTGTCCATGCCGTGGCCCGGGGCCTTGAATGCAGAAATAGGACACACGGTGCTGGGAGTCGGCGTCTGATAAAAAGGGATCCCAGGCCGGGCGCGGTGGCTCATGCCTGTAATCCTAGCACTCTGGGAGGCCATGGCAGGCGGATTGCTCAAGGTCAGGAGTTCGAAACCAGCCTGAGCAAGAGTGAGACCCTATCTCTACTATAAATAGAAAGAAATTAATTGACCAACTAATATATATAGAAAAAATTAGCCGGGCATGGTGGCACATGCCTGTAGTCCCAGCTACCTGGGAGGCTGAGGCAGACAGATTGCCTGAGCCCAAGAGTCTGAGGTTGCTGTGAGCTAGGCTGACGCCATGGCACTCACTCTAGCCTGGACAACAAAGCGAGACTCTGTCTCAAAAAACAAAACAAAAAGATCCCAGATAGAGAAAAAGTGTGATGGGTCCACGCTGGCCCTTTGCCTGCTCTGGACATACATCTGTAAGTTGGGCCCACAGGCCAAAAACCCACCCCTCACACCAGTGGGTGTGATTTCAAATCCAGTCTACACCATTGACCAATAACCAGTCACATCGTTTACGTTTACTGAATTGAAAAAGCGAGGATCTACTATGCGCTCCCCAACCTGACTCTGAGCTTCGGGAAGAGTCGAGAGGACTGCAGTCTCCGGGGACAAGTTCCCCAGCACATATGCAAGTGGGCGGCTCTGCGTTGGTGTATGTGTGTTAACACCCAGCTATACTTTGGGGAGATTCTTCCCTCACTTTCAGTGGGCTTATAATTAGCAAAAAAAAAAAAAAAAGTTTTAGCATCAGAATATACATCATTCCCCATGGAAGCATGTCACAAGCAGCTTCATGCCCTGAATACGAAATAAATACAAATTAAAATTAAAATGAAGACAGCAGGGGATTAAGTTACTTGTTCTTTCCCTGTTCGCTAAAGCTGATCCCGGGGCACATGAAGCAGAACTAAGCCCCGGGTGTTAGTTGGTCCTCCCGGGTTGGAAGAAAAAAAGTAAAGATTAAAAACAAGGCTTTAGGTCGGGCCACAGTGGATCACGCCTGTAATCCTAGCACTCTGGGAGGCCGAGGCAGGAGGATTGCTCCAGGTCAGGAGTTTGAAACCAGCCTGAGCAAGAGTGAGACCCCTGTCTCTACTATAAATAGAAAGAAATTAAATTGGCAACTAATATATATGAAAAAATTAGCCGGGCATGGTGGTGCATGCCTGTAGTCCCAGCTACTCGGAGGCTGAGGCAGGAGGATTGCTTGAGCCCAGGAGTCTGAGGTTGCTGTGAGCTAGGCTGACACCACGGCACTCTAGCCTGGGCAACAAAGTGAGACTCTGTCTCAAAAAACAAACAACAACAAAAACCAGTTCGAAACCAGCCTGAGCAAGAGTGAGACCCCTGTCTCTACTATAAATAGAAAGAAATTAATTGGCCAACTAATATACATAGAAAAAATTAGCCGGGCATGGTGGCCCATGCCTGTAGTCCCAGCTGCTTGGGAGGCTGAGGCAGGATTGCTTGAGCCCAGGAGATTGAGGTTGCTGTAAGCTAGGCTGACACCACGACATTTACTCTAGCCTGGGCAACAAAGGGAGACTCTGTCTCAAAAACAAACAAACAAACAAACAAACAAACAAACAAAAAAACCCAAGGCTTTAATATAGTGCAGGAGTTAACTCCAGCACTGCGTGTCCCGGATGTCTGTGATGGGAGAGGATAAAGTTGTTTCCTTAGACTTCCAGGACTCCTGGCGGCTCCATCAGTTTCCAATCATCTCCTGGGGGCGTGTGTGATGGATGTAAATTTACACTTGACACATATGAGGGCCCCGCTGTCTTTCGGTGTGTGAGACCACGTAGACAGGGCTGGTTTTCTGCTAGCAAAGGGATGCTTTCTGAACAATCTCATGGAAGCTCTTGGAAGAAACTGGAGCCCAAAGATGCTCAATGCCTTGCCTGAGAGGTTATAGCTGTAAAGTAGCAGAATGGGACCGGAACTGTGCTCTTTTCTGCTAGTGAAATAGGCACCTGGGATTCCTGACATCGGGCACCTTCAACACTCCTGATTTAACAAAACTATTTTGAGGAAGGCATGATGCTAACTGCTTGCCTGCTCCTAGCTCCTTTGCAAGTGGGGACAGGGTTGGCGGGGAGGGGACCCACGGCAGGATACTGGAATCCTCAGGGAGCAGTGCAGGTACGGGGGGAGGTGCACTCACACCTGCTAAGCAGCCGGGCCAGGGCAGTCTCCAAGCACAGTAAGATGAGCAAGGGGCAGCGGGAGTCCCCACAACAGGGACTCTGGGGTGAGATGCTGCCCAGGCCTGAAGGCAGTTGGAGGCCCCGCTCAGGGGCTACTACTTCCTGTTCTTTGGGAGCCAAGCCCTGCACACCTGAGGTCAGGTAGCTGGGAAGGACTAATAAGGGCGAGATGAAACTGTTTGCTCTCTTGGCTCTACTCTCTCCTGCAGAGAAATTAAGTCAGGCAAAACCTTGTTAACCCTCTAGGATCGGAGAGAGCAAAAGCAGCTCCAACCACAGTGCCCCCTATCATCCCACCCCATTCCTGTGGGTAAGGCAGGAATGACCTGCACCTCTCTACCTGGCTGCAAGGTACAGTTGCATTTCTTTCCTGTGGATGAACTTCCCGTGACCGTTTATAATCTACTCCCGATCAAGTCCACGGCCAGATGTTTATATAAGTTGTAATCTTATCTGGAGATGTTCCTAAGTGTGACCCAGACATGACTTGATTTGCAATCAAAGGTCTGACTCATTGTTGTACACAATCATGTTTTATTTGAAAACATGTCTACACTGCATCGAGCACCAACACAGGTGTGAACAAGAAACCCACAGTCCTGTCCCAGCAGGCACTGGGTCCAGTGTATGACTTGGGGTTGGCTGCTATTTTTCACAGGGGGTTTGGGGGAGGAGGATAGGAAAGAAGAAATGACATTATTCCTAACTCCTGTTCAGGAATCTGAACAATTAAACTGAGTTATTCAAACCTCAAACAGCTTGTCTAACTTCCCTTCTCTCAATCAACTGATGTTCAAACATGGAACCCGGGCCGGTGCGGAACACACAGCTGGATTTGGGGAACACACAGACACACTGTTTAAAATAACATCCACACAGTACTGTGAAATATGGGAGGAATGGGCCGTGCTTCCGACTGATGGTTTACTCTTTCCTGTTTTATGAACTCTCACAAGTGTAGAGGATATCAGAATTGCACAACCGCAATCACGACAGAGCATCTGCTCGGCCTAAAAACTTTTTGTTTAGGAAAAAGAATTCAAAGGATCTATGAGACGAGAAGCGGCAGAGACAGAACGGCCTCTTGGGCTCCTTTCTTTTGATCTTCTTAACGGGACGACCTACAGAAATTTGTGCTTACATCTCGAAGACCAGGGACATCTATTTTTATATCAAGTCTTTAAATTGAGCTACTTAAAAAATATTAATATTGTACAAGATGATTTTTTTTCCTCCCCACATCTTTCCTCTGAGGCAGAGAGCAAATGTTAGAAAACTGGCTGTCTCCCACGCCGGAGGTCCATGTAGGGTTTCTTTCTGTTTGGGGGCCAACATGGTTCTTGGTTTCTGGAACACTTGAGTCTCCAGCGCCACGAGACATCCAGCAGCTTCCTTGGCATCCGGAGCCCTGAGATCCCCACGTTCCAGAGTACAGCGGCCACTCCAGAGGATCTGTGTCACAGGGAAGAGGCGAGGCTGCCCCCCTTAACTCTGGGGACCCGTCTTCTGAGTGAAGCAGAGGGGGGCCGCTGGGAGGAAACCTTGGAGTCATCAAGTCATCACGGAGAAGGCTTTAGGCAAAGCAGGCCTAGAGGCGGCCTGGGGCCCTTATGAGAAACAGAGAGTCTTCTCCAAAGTATATACTTCCTGTTTATAATCTATCTAATGGATGTCTTTGAAATGATGTATCTGGACCGGCTAAAAGGTAGTTGCTCATCGCCTATGACCCAAGTTTAGATTTTTCGACCTGATTATTCACACCAGATCAGGCTTTTTTTTAAAAAAACAAAAAACAACCAGACCAAACTAGAGTAGAACGTGTACGTTTCAACAGATCAGCAATTGCAAAATGTTGGTGCCATTTGCTGACGTAGCGCTGGATCCAAGGACCCCGTTGATATAAATATTTCCAGATCCCTTTGCATTTTAACAATAACAGAATGGTCAGAACGAAGACATGCGGTTACAGTTTCTAACATCAACAGGGATGATGTCTTAGTTGCAAGTCAGTTCACATAGTTCTGCTCTGTTTTCTAGGCAATTTGTCTTTTAAATCATCTTTTATAAAATTTGTATTCAATAAAGTTGTCAAAAGGCAAATGCTTAGAGGAGCCACGTCTGGTGAGCTGCCTTTCCTTCGGTTACGTGACGCAAGGGGAGGGATCGCCATGGATTTTGAGTGGGGTGGGCAGGCGTTCCATGGGTCATCTTCTCCCACAAGCTTAGGACAGGGGCGGGGAGGAAGTCAGACATTCTCTTTTTAATGCCTGTTGGTAGTAGGGCACGATCCTTCACCTCTTAGGGTCTGTGAAAACAAAGAAAGGTGACTGTCACTTCTTTTACTGGCATTGTGAATAACAACCTGTGAGTCATTGTTCCTATCATCCTAGTCTCTAAGCCAGGGGTCCCCAACCTGTGGTGAGTTATATAATTATTTCATTATATATTAATAATGTAATAATAATATCAATAGAATGCATAATAAATGTAATGTGCTTGAATCATCCCGAAACTATCCCCCCCACAGCCCCCACCCCCAGTCTGTGGAAAAATTATCTTTCGTGAAAACAGTCCCTGGTGCCAAAAAGGTTGGGGACCGCTGCTCTAAGCCTTCTAGTGTTGGCACCTGGTGATCTTCTCCTCGCCCCCTCATCCCTCCTTCATGCTGCCTAGTCCTTATATAGCCAGGGTCAGATTCCCAGTTTCCAAACACGCTAGATGTGCAGCTGTATCATCTTGTCCCTCAGCCCCCCAGTTGCATATCATTAGTCCTTTCCCCTCCCCCATCACATATCATCTCCCCAACAGGAATAAGTTTTCCTCTGGCCATGAGTTTGAATATTCTGAATTCTTAAGGAAGTTTAATAAAGAGAAAGAATTCCTTCCCCCATCTACGGTCAAAGCTGGGCATGCGTAACTACTCAAGCAGGTGCATGCAGGGAAGGAATAGAAGGAGGGATCTACGTGAAAAGTCCCCATCACCAGTGGGATTCCTCATTAGAATGTCGCTGGCTTGGTGACAGGTGCTTTCCCAGAAACCAGCTACCTACTTCTAAAGGGGGCGGGGATGAGCAGGGGCCACGTTAAAACTTGGTCTGGGCTTTCTTTCAAGTTCAATTAGTTGGAAAAATACGACAAGAGACCAAATTTGTTCAGATCTCAATAGGCATCAACTTAAGAGCCACTCTTTTTTTCTTTGAAACATATATAGCCTAAGTAGATGTTTATTTAGTTCTGGGGAAATGCCAGATGTAGTACTTGTGGAGGTAAGGGACTTAACATGACCTTTATATATTAGAGATTTCTGTTAGTTCAAAGGTTTGAGCTCTACTGGAATCCATTCTATTAAGTGAAGTATCCCAAGAATGGAAAAATAAGCACCACATGTACTCACCAGCAAATTGGTATTAACTGATCAACACCTAAGTGGACATAGAGGAATAACATCTATCGGGTGTCGGGCAGGTGTGGGGGGATGGGTATATACACACATAATGAGTGCAATGCGCACCAACTGGGGGGGATGGACATGCTTGAAGCTCTGACTTGAAGGGGCAGGGGGTGCAAGGGCAACATATGTAACCTTAACATTTGTACCTCCATAATATGCTGGAAATAAATAAATAAGTAAATAACAATAAAAAAAGGGTTTGAGCTCTAGACACAACCGCCTTTGTTTACCTATCACGTGAGTAAAAGCTGTTTACTTACGAGTATCTTCCCGACATTTTTCTCATAACCACAATGATGATCCCGCCAAGGACGCCAATGGCTAGTAAGACCCCAACTATGATTCCAACCAGGGTCACTGTCGTCAAACCATCTGAATGAGAGGGGGAAAAAAAGCATGAACCCCAGATAGAACACACACCCGCAATAAAACATGGTATATACAAACAATGCCACTGCCCTGCTGTACATAGTAAATAATGCTTAATTTTTTTAAAATGAACTTTGTAGCTGAATTTATTTCCAAATATACTTTCTTTCTTTCTTTCTTTCCTTTCTTTCTTTCTTTCTTTCTTTCTTTCTTTCTTTCTTTCTTTCTTTCTTTCTTTCTTTCTTTCTTTCTTTCTTTCTTTCTTTCTTTCTTTCTTTGTGGGGAGAACTTGAAGTAGAAGACTTTTTTAAAAAAAAAAAAAACAACAACACATTTTCTTTGGGGATGACAAATACCAGTATTAGGAAATCCAACTACACAAAAAAATACTACATATACTACGTCTAGTCTAGGGTAGATATATATATTTTTGGCAACACAGTAACTGTAAGGTAACTGACATGAAGCCACAGAACTATAACTCTGTCACAGATGCATGCATGGACTTGTGCCTTGCTAGCTGAGCACATTTTCAAAAAACTGGATGCCCACCCCAGAGCTATGCCAGTGAAATCTGTTAAGGTTTAATGAAGCTCTCAAGTGGGGACTCACCAGAGTACCTTGCAGCTGACAGATGATAGGCAGGACATGTTAGTTATAAAGTAGTTACAGCCTAATTCACAAAAGTTACTGTTTCTCTTTCTAGAAAGAAGCAAGAAGTTAAGAAATTCCTTGAATTAGCACCTGGTGTGTCAGGCAGGCACGCAGAGGAGGGGTGTTAGAGCAATGGCAGAAGGACCCTCCCCTCTCCAGTGGAAGTTGATTTACAAGAGGAGAGACTCTGGGCTATTCTAATCCCATCTTGTGAATGGTGTGAGTTCTGCGTCTCAGAATCTATCAAGCATAATCTCACACTGGCTTCACTATTAATTACTGGGTAGCATTTGTGAACAGCTATTAAATTGGCTGTATTTTCATTCTTACATTGTGACATGATATCATTCTGTCATAACCATAGCTGTCACTAACTGAACATAATCATTTATGGTTTGCTTATTTTCAAATACGAGGAATTCCTTTTTCTCTCTTTAAGAAAAAAAATTGAAATCTGTTCTTGGAAAGTTTCTTTATTCTGCTCTGGTTGACCACAATCCAAGAAAGAATGTAATTCATCCCAAAGATTAGGTTCAAAGACACTTTTTCTTAACTCCCATAGGAATATGTTGATACCAAAATCTTGCCTACCTTTGTCAACTGTTACCCGTGTCTCTCCACCCACTTTATCTGTAAAGAGATATAATATAGAATTATTAGGATTTAATAACTACAATTTAATAATTGGCAAAAGGTGAATTTACCATAAGTGGAAAGTAGCAAAACATAAGCAAAGAGGATAATTTCTTAAATAAACTGGATCAGGGGATTTTTAAGCAAGCTCTGACATGATCCTGCCTTTGTAACTCTTTGTAACTAATAATGATCAAATTTATGAATCCTTTTTCACACTTCTGGGTTTGTAGTACTTTTGTGAATGCTACTTTTGCTTGTCCAATTTAGAAAGCAAAGTCAAAAAAACTAAACCACAGAGATCTTAAATGGTCAGAAAGTTTCAGAGGTGAAGGTAGCAGAAGAATCCAGGTGTGGATCTTGGTCCACCCAATGTCAAGACTGGAAAACTTGCAGACTGTGACGAGGTCTCTGACTCATTTTGAGAGTAATACTCTGGTTGGGAAGATGTGACCAAGACTGTGATTCGTCTTGTGACACCAATTTCCTGCTTCTTTGGTAGTAAAATCAGATTATGCCCAGCTGAGTTTAATGAGAGATTACATCCTTTGTATTTATGTACCTGTTATTTGACGATTTCTATCTGCATTCAAACTTCACGTAAGAGTTACAATGTCAATATTCTCCGTTGTGAGTTTCTTTTTGATAATTTTACACAATAACTTAGTTTTAAAATAGAGGTGTTTTAGTTCTCCTATTGACCTCTTTATATACTGAGTCTTGAACTCCTCTGGGTGGTGACTGTTTACCTCGTTTGCAGATGGAGAAAAAGTCAAGCTGCCTTGATTTAATGAGAAATTGGAGAGAATTAAATAATCAAGCTCTTCCCTGGATTCTTAGTTCACAGCTTGCAAAATACCCCAGATACCTTTCCTAATCAAAGGTAAAACTATCGGCCATCACCGAAAAGATAATGCTTTCTCTACGGTTGGGTTTGAAATAAACGATCTCCCCCTTTGTACCAAGGCTGTCCCCAAAACACGGTGGCTCTTCAAGATGGCCCCAGAGTATGGGTCCCAGAAACCAGTCCTCCCCGTACAAGCCGAGCCCCTAGCTCTGAAGCATTCGTACAGAGCTGACGCTGCCTGTGCTACCCCCTCTATAGAAGAAGGTCGCAATTGCCAGGTTTGAGCCTTCAGAACAAAGGTGTCACCGAATCAAGTCCCAAAATGTCATCCTCGGAAGTCAACTCTCCGCAGAGATAAGCCAATCATTTGCCTATCACATCCTAACTTGGCTATTCCAGGCTCATACCATACCATTAATATCACTCAACACAGCATCGGGTAGAAAATATATTACCAAAGTAAAATATGTTTGTGGAAGATTCTAAATTAGTGCTTATTAGTCCCGTGTTCCTCAGTTTCCTCCCAATTACTGTGACTGTGTCCTACGTGTGAACATCATTGCACTTGGGCGTTTCATGGGAAAACTGAACATCTGCTGCCCTAATAAAATTACCTCTTAAAACTAAGCACTTATAATGACATTTTAGCTCATGCAAAAACATCTTGGGATAATGATATGTGAAGTGGAAATGTGCCCACGTCACAATTTTTGGGACAGGGTGGGGCAGGGGACAGGAAGGGAAAGTAAAAATGAGTTATTTCCCAAGGCAATGGAGAATTTGGTTGTTTTTTTTTTCAGGCAGAGAGGAGAGGTATCCTGCTATGGCAGAATATTCAATGTGGAAGTCTCCGTTTTCTGCTGCTAATTTGCCATCAACCCATGTTACAAATGAGCATTTCTTCTCCAAAATTTTGAAATGCTTTCCAACGATCACATACTAATTGTTCTTTTCTCACTTAGCCATACTTGGTTTTCTCTGGTGTTTAAATGTTAATCATTGCTTTCACTGTAATCCTAGCACTCTGGGAGGCCGAGGCGGGCGGATTGCTCGAGGTCAGGAGTTCAAAACCAGCCTGAGCAAAAGCGAGACCCTGTCTCTACTATAAATAGAAAGAAATTAATTGGCCAACTAATATATATAGAAAAAAATTAGCCAGGGATGGCGGCTCATGCCTGTAGTCCCAGCTACTCGGGAGGCTGAGGCAGTAGGATTGCTTGAGCCCAGGAGTTTGCTGATGCCAAGGCACTCACTCTAGCCTTTGGCAACAAAGCGAGACTCTGTCTCAAAAAAAAAAAAAAAAAAAATCATTGCTTTAACAGCTTGGAGCAAGCTTTAGGTTTTATTTGAAAGCACTTTATAAAGTTTTAAAAAACTGTGCTAAAATACATATAGCATAAAATTTACAAGTTAACCATTTTTATGTGTACAGTTCAGTGGTATTAATTACATTTATATTGATGTACAACCATTACCACTGTCTACCTCCAGAACTCTTTTCATCTTATAAAGCTGAAACTCTGTATCCATTAATTAGCAGTGTTTCATTCTTCTCTTCACCCAGCCCCTGGCAACCACCATTCTACTTTCTGTCTCCATGAATTTCACTACTCTACATTCCTCATCTAAGTGGAATAATCCAGTACTTGTCTTTTTGTGATTGGTTTATATCATTTAACATGCCTTCAGGGGTCACCCATGCTGTATCAAGTGTCAGCATTTTTTTCTTTTTTAAGGCCGAATAATATTCCACTGTATGTAGAGACCACATTTTGCTTATCCATTCATCCATCTATGGTCACTTGGGTGGCTTCCATACTTTAGCTGTCGTGAATAATGCTGCTATGAATATAAGGGTATAAATATAAAGTATTTTTTAAATCCTCAGAAGTGCTACAGTTTTTAAAACCAGATTAGTGGTTGGACCTGGAAATGCATATTCAACAATAAAGAATAACTTTCTAGGTGTTCAGATGAAGGACTGCTTTAGGCACGATCTTTATATTTACTTTCATTTTAGAGATGGAAACATAAGACCTACCTAGATAAAATGATCTACGTAAAATTTATCAAGTTAGCAAGCACTCGTTGAAGTTACTGGAGAATTTGCTCTTTTTCTCCCCCACTACCACTATAAAATAGGGCATATTTTTGAAAAAGCCCAAACGACTTAACTTCCCTTAAGAAATCTCTACAAATAGGAAGTGCTCTCTTTCCATGGCTAAATTGACAAGGAGCCTTCCTCATTGTCATCAGTGATGGTCTAAATATATTAATAAGAAGAGCAAAGCCCCAAAGGCCTCCTCTGAAGTTTCTCTCCGAGGTATTCCATTCACACTGTGGAGGTGCCAACTATGAGTCACAAGGACAACCCCAAGTCCTGGTAGAGCAGGTTTAGAACAGATTCTTGCTTCATGTGTGCAGACACGAATCCAATATAAGATGCTAACTATTATATTAGTATAGAATCTATTAAGATTTACATAGGCTGGCTGAGTTTTGTGCTCCTAGGTGTCAACACAAAGTTCTTAATGTAGCATTACATCAGTTTAGGCAGGTGAGGTGGCTCATGCTTGTAATCCTAGCACTCTGGGAGGCCTAGGTGGGCGGATTGCTCTAGGTCAGGAGTTCGAAACCAGCCTGAGCAAGAGTGAGACCCTGTCTCTACTATAAATAGAAAGAAATTAATTGGCCAACTAATATATATAGAAATAATTAGCTGGGCATGGTGGTGCATGCCTGTAGTCCCAGTTACTCAGGAGGCTGAGGCAGTAGGATTGGTTGAGTCCAGGAGTTTGAGGTTACTGTGAGCTAGGCTGATGCCACAGCACTCACTCTAGCCTGGGCAACAAAGCGAGACTCTGTCTTAAAAAAAAAAAAAACCAAACAATAAAAAAACATTACATCAGTTTAGGGTCAGCAACGCAACCTCAGTCGCTACCCGACTCACATGTGGGGTCATTATCACTAGTTATCATTCAAGGTAGAAAGAGATCTTCAGCAACCTAATGAGTCAATTTTGATTTAGCAACTCAACAAATCGAATTCTAAACCTACCACATAAAAGCTTGGTTCAGAATTCACTCTTGCATTCCAATATGTGTCCAGTTGATTATTATATTTGCTCATGGAATGCACTGGTTATGCAAAATTAGATGAACCCCTATTGGAGTAACTGGTTTCCTTACCTGTGGAGCGGCTGGTCGCCACATTGGGGACTGTGGTGCTCTGGCTTTCTTCTTTGGCAGGGACCGTGCTTTCCAGGGTTGGCAGATCCTCGATGTCAGGGCTCGCTGTACTCTTTGCACTCGTTGCCATCTATTGGAGATGTAGATGAGGAAAAGGAGAAGATAAAGCCTACTGTTTTAAAACATATTCTCTGTTTTCTAACAGAAAAAGATGTAAGGTAGCATAAATACATAAATTTCATGATTGCATAAAGTGAAGTGGAAACAAGAAAACAAACAAACAGAAAGGGTGAAAGGACAGGAATAAAATCAAGTCTGCTCCAGAGATGAATGCCAAATGTTCAGCATGCTGACTTCCTGGGGTCTTAATCATTCTGAAAAAAACTGGATCACTAGACTTTAGTTCTTTCCCTCCCTCGAACTTGAATTTTTCCCTGTCACTTCCACTTGGTTCGTATTAGGCTATATCATCCTTCATTGCCCTTCTTCCCCCATTAGAGTAATAGTGAGCCTTTATTGAGAGCTTACTGTGCCAGGCCCTTTGAATATATTCTCATTTGTGTTATGTGTTTATCACAATAAAAAAATATATGCTCCTGAGTGCCCACTATGAGCCCAGCATGGCTCCAAGTCCTGGGAATTTGAGTAATAAAAATTCCCTGCTCTCTTGAAGATTAGCTCCTGGGCCAGGGTGGCAGAATATGAACATTTAACATGTAAACCAATACAAAAGGTAGTTTTACATGACTTTAAGTGAGTTTAAGAAAATATAAGCTAGACTAGTCTAGACTAGACTAGACTAACATTTGGCAAACTTTTCCCTAAGGGCCAGATGGTAAACGTTTTCCGCATTGCAGGACACAGGGGCTCTGTCATAACTACTCATCTCTGCTCTTACAGTAGGAAATCAGCCAGACAATTCTCAACTGAATACGCATTGCTGTGTTCTAATAAAACTTTATTTATAAAAACAGTCGGTGGGCCAAATCTGATGAGTAGACTGCTGACCACAGGGCTAGAGGGTAGCTACTGGTGGATGGGGGTGGGGGTGAGGTTCCTTTAGGCATCTTTGAGATATCAAACTTCAGAATCATGAGAAAAAGTCAGCCATGGAAAGGTCTGGGGAGTGTTCCAGGCAGAGAAAACAAAAGCCTAAGTTGGAACAAGCTCGGTGTATGTTCAAAGGTCAGAAAGGCTGACATGGCTGAAACTGAGACAGTAGGGGTTGGGGGGAGAGGGACATGAGGTCACACAGGCAGGTAGGAGCCTCTGTTCTGCTGCCAGTGAGATTATAGGCCCCTAAAGTTTCGAGGGTATGGCTCATGGACCTCCTTAATCCCCCCAGTGCCTGGCATCTTGTCTTGTCCATGGCAGGTGCCATAGCCGTGTATGAGTTCATTAAAATGCATTAGGTTAGGGACATGTAAGTTGAGAATCTACACAGTCTACACCAGCGTGGTCTGCAGACCAGTTGTGGTCCATGTTTATCACCAGTCTACAGTGAGGCGAGAAATTAAGGACACATTTTTGGAAGCCCTTATAGCAACGATACTGCTGCAGCATCCACGATGACTTTTATTAAAGACTGCACTGTAACAGATTGGAAATTTTGTTTTTTAATTTAGAAGAAATGCAGTTTTAGTATAATATAGAAATATGGCAATAGTAATCCTAAATTCGAACGATGAATCTTTCATTTAATGAATAAAGAAGATTTATTTTTAATCAGCACTTAATTCAGATTGGACATTTAAAAACCTGGTTCCTCACCAGTTCCAGACGCCCTGGCCTCTCTTCTCAAATCACCTGTGACCGGCACACCAGCCACCTGCTAACTGGACGAAACTGGGAAGTACAGAAAGTCCGCACTTAACATTGTTGGTAGATTCTTGGAAACTGTGACTTTAAGCGATAGGACTTAAAATGAAACCGATTTTTTCCTCATGAACATTATAACAAAATGACTTTATTCAAGGACCTGCTCGGCCGGGCGTGGTGGCTCATGCCTGTAATCCTAGCACTCTGGGAGACCGAAGCAAGCAGATAGATCGAGGTCAGGAGTTCGAAACCAGCCTGAGCAAGAGCGAGACCCTGTCTCTACTATAAATAGAAAGAAATTAATTGGCCAACTAATATATATAGAAATAATTAGCCGGCTATGGGGGGCGCATGCCTGTAGTCCCAGCTACTCGGGAGGCTGAGGCAGGAGGATTGCTTGAGCCCAGGAGTTTGAGGTTGCTGTGAGCTAGGTTGATGCCATGACACTCACTCTAGCCTGGGCGACAAAGCGAGACTCTGTCTCAAAAAAAAAAGGACCTGCTCTATGTCATTTTGCTTAAAGTTGCAGTTTCCAAGAACCTATTGCTGATGTCAAGTGAGGACTTCACAGTGGTTTTTGTTGTGAGGCATAAAACTATTTCTTGGCATGGTGGCTTACACTGATTTGATATATAGATACAACATATTATATATAGAAAGTATATCAAGTATTGTGATATTAGGATATATGTTGGTTTTCATCCAGTTCCTGGCTCATAAGTCCCAGTGCCCTTGTTATAATATTTGGGCAATTTAGGCCTCAGGAGACAGAATCTCTCTCTTTCTCTCTCTGACCTTCCCCTGCCCTCCTTTCACCTGCGCAAGGCAGGACTCTAAACTGATTGTGGGTCAAAAGACCCTCATTCCAAAGAGGGTCCTGCCCCATACCCTGGAGGAAAGAACGCTGCACAGAGAGGCCAAGAAGAATCTGGACAGAGAGGCTTTGCTGGGTCTCCCCACTCAGTCTATTAGTATGAGATCATACCCTTTTTAGCCAATCCCATTTCTACGTGGTTGTCAATCATGCCTATGTAATGAAGCCTCCATAAAACCCCAAAAGGACTGGGTGTGGAGAGCTTCCAGATAGCTGCACACAGAGAGGTTCCTGGAGGCTGGTGCACCATGGAAGCTCCACGCCCCTCCCCCAGACCTGGCCACGTGCACCTCTTCACCTGCAGCCTTTGTGATAAGACCAGTACGCATGAGTGAGTGTCACCCCGAGTTCTGTGGGCCGCTCTAGCAAATTAACCCAACCCAAAGACGGAGGTCCTGGGAACCCCAGTTTACGGCCAGTTGGTCAGGGGCCTGGACTTGCGACTGGTGTCTGGCAGGCAGGTGGGGCAGGGTGGGGAGTTTTGGGGACTGAGCCCTCACCCTGTGGGAACTGGCACTATCTCCCGGTACATAGTGTTGGAATCGAATTAGATGACACCCAGCTGGTGTCTGTTGCAGAATTTATTGCTTGTTGGTGGAGAGGAACCCTCTCATATTTGGTCACAGAAGCCTTCTGTGTTGATTGTTGTGAGCAGAGGAAATGGGGTTTGTGTGCTTTCTAACAAGTGTGTATCACATAGGCTATACACCCTTGCGTGTGACCACAGGCCTGTGGAGCAAATGCCTCTCTTCCCAGGACACTCACCGGGGTTGTCGGGCCAGCAGGCTTAGAGGGCTCTTCAGTGGCTCCTGGGGTTGTCACATCTTCTATACCTGGGGTTGTCACATCTTCTATAGCTGGGGTTGTCACATCTTCTATAGCTGGGGTTGTCACATCTACACCTGGAGTCTCAATGTCATCTTCTGGCCGGTTCGTGCTGGCTGAAGAAGAAAGATTAAGTCAGGGCTTCAGGCGGAAATCATGTGAGCAGATCTCACAGGCCAGCTACGGTCAGATTATCTTCTCTCCCATTTCTCATGAGAACTGTATTTATTTACTTATTTATTGGTCATTTTTTTGGCTTACCACAGTGCCAGGAACCAAACCATTCTCCTACGGCACCACCTCTGGCCCACACAGTGGCCAAGTTATATTCATTGCAAAGCAAAGGAAGATGGAAACACAGAAGAGTGCAGCAGCCAGCCCTGCCCTGGGCTCCCGCTTAGGGCCCTGGACAGGGGCTTGTGCATCTTTCCTTTTCACTAAGGAACCAGATTCTTCCTGCTGCCATTTCATGCAATGAATTAAGGTATTCAGGTTAATAGGATATCACCTAGACCTGAACAAATTCTCAATTATAGTCACCTGGAAAGATTTCCAAAACACCCATTTCCAGGCTCTGTGCAAACCCGCTGTATCACAATGGCCAAAATTGGGGTCTCCGCCTTTCTAAAATCAAGCTATCTCTCCATTTAATTTTGAGACTGCCATCCACATAGAATGATTAGAACCATTGGCTCTGACCACAGACCTCACGGATTCCACAGAGACACAGACCACAGACCTCACAGATTCCACAGTAACCTCTTATCCTAGTTAGGGTTACTGTGTACAGGGGAGGGAGGGTCAGTCATATTCTTAGAGATACCGAGATACCAAGAGGAATCCTAGCACGTGGAAAGCTGAAACTAGTGAGACCTCACCTGGCCCTGGCTTTTCTGCACGAACATTTGGAAGGATGACTGCTCGTGCCAATGAGAGAGGTTTCCGTGGAGCAGGGAATTGGTGGGGTGAAGACAGCAGGCCGAATTCCATGATGGGGAATAAAGCAGATCATCAGAGTGTCCTCTTCTTCAACCTCTGTTGCAATGACTGGAACTAGCTGTGACTGTGCCTTGAAGCATCATCTCTAAACTCATCAAACAACCCTTTTCACGAGTTAAAAATCTGACTCATTGGCCACGGGCTTCCTCCTCAGACTCGAGTGGCGCTGGAAATTCCATGACTAAACACAGTTGCAAAATAAGCAGGCATACACGCATCCCAGGAGCAAGGGGGAGGGGAGCTGGGAGGCTCCTTTGTGCAATGAAAGAGCAGATGTTTATATCTAGGCAGCACTCACGCCAGCAGTCCATTCCTCGCCTTCGGCTACCTTATTTTCCCCTCACCTGAGACAGCCCAGCTGTCCTAACTTCTTTGCTGAGATCTAGAGGGAGGAAGCCTCCAAAGGCAATTCGCTTGTCCTGTGAGCCTTCTCTTTGGTTCTAGTGTCCCAATCCCCACCGAAGCATAGGAATTTATTTTTTTATCTGAGGGGGAAAGGCTTTTACCAGTTGGCAATAATAACTGACTACCTTAGTGCTTGCAAATGGCACGGCTCCCCTTGTGGCCTTTGGCTGGGGTGGGGGAGGGCTGGTGATTGGCGCCCACAAGAATGTACCACTGTGGTGCAGCCGCATGTTTAATGTGTTTATCAAGCTCCAGGGGAAAACCAAGCAACCCATTTTCTTCTCTTCCTCCCCTCGTTTGAACTTAGTTAAAAAAATCGATTTTTTAAAAATGTTTTCTGGAGCTGTTCAGCAGAATCACTTACCATACGGCATCTCAAACTTAACCCATTGGGGAAAAAAAGGCAAAAAAAAAAAAAAAACCAACAACGACTGAATGAAGTTGGTTTGGATTCTTTCATAGAAAGCTCAGTTCATTGAAAGCACAACTTGATAAAAATTCCTTAATGTTCTTTCCTGCCCTTGGCCCACAGAGCCAAGTACTAAATAGACAAAGGGTGTTTTATGAATGACAGTCAGGATTAAGATGTGTGTCTTTTGTCTCACTGCCCTGGCATTCTTTTGGCCCCATGGGAAAGTTGATCTCTAACAAGAGATCCTCAATTGTCCCTCTTATTATCTTGGCTGGAGGCTTCTCTGGGCCAGGAGTTCCTACCAGGCCAGCTGCCGGGTTTCCAGCCAGCATTTGACATCCTTTTCCTGTCCTTTTCCTTTCACTCATGAAATTCAAATGCACTGATGCCTTCACTCTCCAAGACTTTTTTTCCTAAGACAAGAGTACGCGCTGGCACACAAACATGCACACACACACACAGGGTACATGTGTGCACACACACGGAGTGCAGAACAATGAATCCACGATTATAAACCAATATCCATGGCCTGGCACATAGGGTGGGTCCAGGCGAAGCGTGTTCTCACACTCCCATGAACACCTTTTCCTGCCACGCCCGGCCTCCGCATTGGAGTCAGAACCAATGGAAGTTTCCAAACGTGGCAGTACCCCATCCATTTACTTTGGAATTCATTGTTATTCTGTAAAAACCTAGGCCAGGGCTGGGTGCAGTGGTGGCTCACGCCTGTAATCCTAGCATTCTGGGAGGCCGAGGCGGGAGGATTGCTCTCGAGGTCAGGAGTTCGAGACCAGCCTGAGCAAGAGCGAGACCCCGGGTCTACTAAAAATAGAAAGAAATTAATTGGCCAACTAAAAATTATAAGAAAAAATTACCTGGGCATGGTGGCGCATGCTTGTAGTCCAGCTACTCGGGAGGCTGAGGCAGGAGGATCGCTTGAGCCAGGAGTTTGAGGTTGCTGTGAGCTAGGCTGACGCCATGGCACTCTAGCCCAGACAACAGAGTGAGACTGTCTCAAAAAAAAAAAAAAAAAAATAGGCCAAAGTTTATACTACCCAAATTTACCTTAAGGTTCTTAATGTTGAGAATAAGGACTTAAGTAATGCTTATTTATATAAAGTTGTTCATTATGAATCATTTTTATCTTTGCATTAAAGTTTAATATAGCTCTAAAATATTATTCTAGATTGCTCACATTGTGTAATGGCATTTCTTAAAAAAGTTTTAGAATTTAGATGCAATGTTAAATTGGGATTTTATTGTAATCGTATTGTAATACTCCTAAAAATTTTTTTTAACTAATCAGCTAAATTTAAGATTCAATGAGTCCCAAATTCTTGATCAATGTCTTTTGAATAAGTGTTTTCAATCTTTTGGTTTTATTTACATTTCTCTGACTTGTGGTGGTGAGTTGTTCCATCTGTTTGTTGGCCATTTGGAATGTCTTCTTTTTGTGACTGTTTTTCTCTTATGACATCCCAACTTGTAAGCACTCTTTATACCTTAAGAATATGTCATTTGGACTAGATGGCATTTGCATCTGTTTTGCAAATGGCAAGCTGTCAGTAATCAAACTTCCTAAGCTTCTTTTCTCTCTTTAACGTCACACTTCCCAACCTTTCCTCAAGATCCTATACAAATATTCACCTATCCTTTCCTTATGGTTTTGTTCTCACATTTAATATTTGTTTGCCTTATTTGGAACTATTATGTAAAATAGGAATATAATTTGATATCCCCCAACAGATTAGCCAGTTGTCCCAATAAATCCTTTTTTCCCCACTGCTTGAAAACTCGCTCTCACTGAGACAAATCTCTTCTTGCAAGTACTGTGTCAGAGTCACAGAAACTCTTCGACAGAAAGTCCAGCTTCAATGGCCTGGATATGGCTGATGGCCCCTCTACACACGACCCCATCTGCAGACTCTGCAGCACCTCTTTCCAAATCCGCTTTCTTCACTATCAACTCCCTCTTCCTCCTCATATCTGCCGACTGCTGCTGAGTTAAACGAGTGCCAAGGACGAAGCTAGAATAAAATTGGGTGTAGAGAGTGAGGAGGAACAGTGGGCTACTCTGGCCAGGTGCAGTGGCTCACACCTGTAATCCTAGCACTCTGGGAGGCCAAAGCAGGAGGATTCGCTTGAGGTTAGGAGTTTGAGACCAGCCTGAGCAAGAGTGAGGCCCTGTCTCTACTAAAAATAGAAAAAACTAGCCAGGTATGGTGGTGCACACCTGTAGTCCCAGCTACCCAGGAAGGCTGAAGCAGGAGGGTCACTTGAGCCCAGGAGTTTGAGGTTGCTGTGAGCTAGGCTGACGCCACCACACTCTAGCCCAGGCGACAGAGCGAGACTCTGTCTTGAATTTTAAAAAGTGGGCTCCTCAAACAGGTGCACGTGGGGTCTGTCTGAGTTCGGCTCCGATGCAGTGTCGTAAGTTCTACTTAATGTGGAAGGCGCCACGTCATCACAATAATGCCCTCGCTCACAGTTTGTTCAGCAGTGCAGGGTTTACATGGTGTCTTTAATTCACGACAGCCCTGTGGATGGATTGTGTGGCACTGTTGTCCCCACTTGACAAGGAAACTGAGGTTGGCAAAGACTCTCTCCTTGACCAAACTTTTATCTGTCTCCTCTGAACCCTCTTCTGAATTAAGTCCCAATCTCAGACTCCTATGCCCGTCTCTGTACAACAGAGAGGATGCCCCGCCCTGGATATCTGAGCAAGTTCTTCACTCCCACCTTTGATGTCTAGGCCTTGGGCCCACCTTTAGCAAGAATCCTGTTAGGCCAGTCTAGCAACAATCCCATGCCCTTAATGTCTGCTCCTAGAAATTTTCTATCCAAGGACACCCCCCTTCTGCCTGTTGGCTATATATCCCTACTTGTCCTGTAGTCAGAGTTGAACTTGATCTCTTTGCTATTGCAATACTCCTCATTAGAGTAGTCTTGAATAAAGTCTTCCTTACCATTTAAACAAGGGTCAGAATAATTGTTTAACAAAGTCAGAAGTTAAATGATCCGCCAAATTCACCAGATTCATGAGTAGATACGCAGCCAGGCGTCCGTGGACTCAACCAACACAGGGCCAAAAAGCAGCTTCGCTCCTGTGATGTGTTCTTCCCCAGCTCCAGGCTAAAGCGCCTACTGCCTCACTCCCTGGGGTCTGACCTCCCCCCTTCTTCTGCCCCCCATCCTCATCCTCCCGTAAATTGTATTTCTAGTTGTCAGAAGCAAATGCTTCCTCGGCGTATTACGGCCTCTTACACAATCCCATCCTGTTAGAATCTTCCAGTCTTATTC